CTTTCTTTCTTTCTTTCTTTCTTTCTTTCTTTCTTTCTTTTTCTTTGTTTCTTTCTTTTCCTTCCATCCTTCTTTCTTTCCTTCTTTTCTTTTCCTTCCTTCCTTTCTTTCTTTTCCTTCCTTCCTTCCTTCCTTCCTTCCTTCCTTCCTTCCTTCCTTCCTTCCTTTCTTTCTTTCTTTCTTTTTTTCTTTTTCGTTTTTTCTATCCTTCCTCCCCTCTCCTCCTGCTCCTATTCTTCCCCCTTCCTCCTCATCCTCGTTGTTGTTGTTGTTGTTATTATTATTATTTTCTTATTCTGGATGAAGGTTTAGTTAAGGCTTCCCAGATTATGCTGTTTGCCTGAATATTTATTCTCTGCAAACACGGCTAATTTCTCTCCCTTGTCTGCAGTGTGCTTTGGGCTTCAAGTTAGCAACACCACATTTTTAGAAGCTGGCACCAGGTGTTTAAGACCTTGTACCTTGCACTGAAAAGGTTTGACAAGGTTTCTCAGCCTCTATTTAAGGGACTGCGGGTGTCGGTGCTGGTTGTTTTGTTCCTGGGCAATCGCGGTTTCTGGGCTGTCTCCAGTTCCGCCACTGGGTTTATGGCAAGCCTGTCCGGATTGTGACTCAGCAAGTCAAACCCTGCTCACCAACCGTGGCTGGCCGATTTGGGGGGCGCTCTGCCAGATACAGACCGCAAAACGAGGGGGATGCTGGTTGATGAAGCACCTAGTTGGTCTGAATCAGATTCACCAAGACACAAACCATGTTAGAGATAAGGGAGGTCTGGGATGGCGGGCTAGGTGGTAATTTCAGATTTTGCTTTCACAGTTATTCCTCGATTTAGGACTATAATTTATATGTTACTTATATGTAAGGGTGTAGGTCTATACAGATGTTGTGTATAATATGTTTAAATGTGTGTTATGCATGTGTGCACTTTGAGAGCAGGCAACTAAATTTCATTTTTAATCTGTGCCAGTGTGCCCACGATAAAAAATGACAATAAAGGTTATCTATCTACTACCTACCTACCTACCTACCTCTATTATCTATCTATCTACCTACCTACCTACCTATCTCTAATCTACCTCTATCATATCTATCTACCTACCTATCTCTATTATCTACCTCTATTGTATCTATCTGTCTGTCTGTCTGTCTATATTTATCTTTCTATATCTCTATCTATCTATCTATCTATCTATCTATCTATCTATCTATCTATCTATCTATCTATCTCTCTCTATCTATCTATCTATCTATCTATCTATCTATCTATCTATCTATCTATCTATCTATTATCTATCTATCATCTATCATCTATCTGTCTGTCTGTCTTATATCTACCTTTATTGTATCTATCTATTTACCTACCTACCTATCTCTATTATGTACCTCTATCGTATCTATCTCTGTCTGTCTATCTATCTATCATATCTCTATCGATCTGTCTGTCTGTCTATATCTACCTCTATTGTATGTATGTATGTATGTATGTATGTATGTATGTATGTATGTGTCTGTCTGTCTGTCTGTCTGTCTGTCTATGTCTATCGCCGATTTTCCATTGCTAAGCAAGGCAGCTAATGAGCCACACCTGATTTTACAACCATTCCCTCCCCCATAATTAAGCGAACCACTGCTGTGGTTAAGTGAATCATGGGGTCATAAGTGAGTCCGGCTTCCTCCGCTGACTTGGAGGAAGCTGCTCAGGAATGGGGGTCACATGACCCCGGGGTCCTGCAACCGTCGTAAATACGTGCCAGTTTCTAAGTGGCCAAATTCTGATCATGCGTCCCTGGGGACGATGCTCCCGCAATGGTGGAAAGTGTACAAACTGTTCGCAAGTTCCTTTTTTCCAGTGCTGCTGTAACTGCCGTCGTTAAATCAATGGTTGTAAGTCGAGGATTACCTGTACTTGTCGTCCCCTACTTCTGAAACACGGCTGCAGAGGATCATTTGACAGGAATGGGGAAAGAAATCCCTTTTGCTGTGGCTTGAGAAAGTCCGCAACAACCACAAATCTGAACTGCAGCTAGTCCTTGACTTACGACCCACAATGGCGCCCAAAACTTTTTGTGGCTGAGTGAAACCTTTTTTAAGCGAGTTTTGCCCCGTTTTACGACTTTTCTTGCCACCGTTGTTAAGTGAATCACCGCAGCTGTTCATTAGTAACGCCGTCGTTAAACAAACCTGGCTCTCCCATTGACCTGGCTAGTCAGAAGGCCACAAAAGGGGATCACGTGACCCCCCCGGGGGACGTCGCCACCGTCATAAAATGTGAGTCGGTTGCCAAGCGTCTGAATTTCGATCACGTGACCCATGGGATATTCCACGACGGTCGTAAGTGTAAAGAACGGTCCTAAGTCGCTTTTTTTTCCCCAGCGCCGTCTTAACTTTGAACGGTGACTAAATGAACGGTTGTAAGTCGAGGATTACCCGCGGTTGTCACACAAACACATCCGTGCTGTTCGATGCCTGTTGAATCTCTCACATTTAATCCCCGGCCTAAAGAACCAGCTGCAGAGTTGCTACAAGTCGTAACCTGGATTGTGGAGCTATTTATAGGTGGACTCGACTCCCAGAACAAGGCAGTTTTGTGCGTTCCTGGTTGTGTTTATTTTTTTTTTAGCCGCAACCGGGCTTCGGCTGAACCAGTGTTGGCGAACCTTGTAGAGACCGAGTGCCCAAACCACAACCCAAAACCCACTTATTTATCGCAAAGTGCCAGGGCCGCATCAGCATTGTGGTGCCCTCGGGGGGGGCACGGGGGCGTGGCCCATTGGGTGGACGTGGCCCACTGGGTGGGGATGGCTGAGGTGGTCACGGCAGACTGGGTGGGCGTAGCTGGGGTGGGCACGGCCACCTCGATGTTGCTCATGGGGGGGAAGCGTGTGGGGGCCAGGCAGGGTTGGGGGAGATCACGGGGGTCTCTGGTGGGTGGGGCGGTGGGCAGGAGGTCCAGCATAGGTGGGGGGAGGCACGCAGTCCTACCTGGGACTGGGGGGCCATGGCGCCGATGGGGATCCAGCTTTCCCTGCTCGCGGTGGCCTTTGGCTTGCTGGGCGTGGGCGTGCTCCACCACCTCTACTCGAGCGTGCTAGCTGGCCGCTTCGCCTCCTTTGTGCTTGGTGGGGCTACCACTCCGGGTGGTGGCGGTGGCCTAATGGACCTGCGCAAGCTGCTGGCAGCGGCAGCATGCATGCTCACAGAGAGGGCTCTGAGTGCCGCCTCTGGCACGCGTGCCATAGGTTCGCCACCACTGGTATAGGGTCTCCTGCTTGAGCAGGGGGCTGGACTAGAAGACCTCCAAGGTCCCTTCCAGCTTCCTATTCTATTCTATTCTATTCTATTCTATTCTTTCTCCTGCCTTCCTGTCTTATAGAATCTTTATTCTACTCTATTCTACTCTACTCTACTCTACTCTACTCTACTCTACTCTACTCTACTCTACTCTACTCTACTCTACTCTACTCTACTCTACTCTATTCTATTCTATTCTATTCTATTCTTTCTCCTGCCTTCCTG